ATTCTGAAAAGCAAAGATAAATATAATTTTCATACATTTTCAAGGGGAAAAATTCACCTTTTTTTTTTTTTAGCTTTTGTGGACTCCATAATTGTAGAAATTTTGTTATAAAATATATATGTTTTGGGAATGCTTTAGGTCTCAAGGTGGTAGGCCTAAATGTGTTTTATAAGTATATTCTGCGTTTAAAAATAATTTAAATATTTGCACCTTTTGAGATTTCTAGTGATAACCCTCACCACTTTTTACTGCTTATATGATAAATCCTGCTTCACTCATTCATGTTACCTGTCTGGCCAGTGTAACCCAGAATATTTGTGACTCCTGTTTTAGGATATGTGGTTCTTCCAGCTCTTGGTTTTTGGTGGCTTAGGAAATGTGAACACATTAATTAATATGAAATATTTTCATCTTAAGATGACATTACAAGTTCAAAAACCATTGAGAAATATCCCGCTGTGGCCTGCAGAAGACTGATTCACTTCATGATTTTATCCTCTAGCAGATGATTGACAGGAAATAGTCTGGATCTTTTTCAGGCCATAAAGTTGGGTCAGACCACAAAGAAGACAAATTTGAATCAAAATAAGGACTCTTCCAAAGCCATATCTCTACTCACTTGCATTCAATCCAACTCTCAGACTAGGTTTTTGCCCCGCTATTAGAGGATGAACTGACCCAGTGGAAGCCTATAGGAGTTCTTAAATTGCCTGAGTCCTATGGGTAGCTGTCATTATTATTATTATGAAGTTTGTGGCATTGTGTGGAGAAATACAGAGAAAGGGTCAAAACCAAAATGTGGGCCAAGAGGGAAGAGGTATAGATTTATTGTAAATGGGGTTTCAAATCCGTGTGTATAATATATACATGACAGGTTTTCTCCATCAGCTATCACCAAAGTATCACTATTATTGTAACTGTCATTATTTACATTTAAAAATTTTATGTTCAGAAATGTTCAGAGTCTTAACATTTAATCCGATTCATCATTTTCTTTAAGTTGGAGATTGAAGACAGTATAATTGGATAAAACTTATAATTTTGTATTTAGTAAGCTCTTCTTTGATAAATAAAAATGGACCCACATAATGTTATTCTCGGACTTTAGGTCTGCTAAATGATTAGGTCTTTGTCTGTCATGAAACTTGGCATACTCATACCCTTTCTACACTGTGTTTCAGTGAAAGTACTACTCACGTTCTTCATTATACATTTTTTTCAGTTATTATCTGTTTTCTTGTTTCTAAGGGTAAGTTAATCCTTTCCTTTTCAAACAGATACTGTTTTTCATAACTTCACAAAACTGCAACACCTCATTGTCTGTTTTTGTAGAGTCATTTTAAAAATGAAAGCATGTTTCCCCTCTGTGTGTGATGATAATTGTCAAACTTGTGCATCTTGCATAGTTCAAGTTAGGAAAAGAGGATTAGAAGGTGTCTTCAGAGGTAGAGCAAGTACTGAAGTTTCTTGTGGTTGCTTGTAATAACTTCGTCTGCTAGTCAGTCATCAGTATGTTAAACTACACTGATAGGTGTTATATTGTAATATTACTTTAAATTTAAAAATGGTAATACAAATTCCCAGTTTATCAAAAAGAAAGCATTACATGATAACTGTATGTCTGTATGTAAATTGAAATACAAACTTTTTTTACCAAATGTGTGTGTATTCCACTTTCCACTGGTCAGTAATGCTATATGACAGAGTAACATAAAATTGAATGTCACCCACTAATCTGAAATTTGGTGACTAAATGTTTACTGACATAGGAGAGCTGGAAAAGTAAAGACTTATTAGATGAAGCAAGGAGCCCCTTATCACCATATGTTGAAAAGTGTGAATATCAAGTGACCTGGATTCAGATGTACTAAACCTTTTTTCTGTAATCTGTTTATTGATTAGTTTTGAAAAGTTGTATAACCTAACTATGTTATATCAGTCTGCAAAATAAAGATGGCAATACTTTGTACCGTAAAGAAATGTGAAAAATTAATACCTTAACTTTCTAATTACAGTATTTTATTAATATTGCAAGTTTAGATAAAATCCTATTATAGTTAGGATGGCCAATATATCTTGTTTGACTGGGATTGTCTCCACTTCCACCACTTGTACCAAAAATGATTATTAGTAGCAGATAGTATACCAAGTTAGATGATAAATTATATGATCACCTTAATTATAATTGACTTCAGGGACTTTGTGAAACGAATATTGTTAGGAAAACCACTTCTCAGTATCTAAACCTTCAATAAAATATCACATGCCCATTACCTTACATTAGTGGTAAATAGTAATAGAAGGTGGCTTACATATACCATGTCCATTCGTTCCTTCCTCTAAGATCCTTGATCTTGATCCTTAAGATTTTTAGCTTATAACTCTGATTCTCTCCATTTTCTATCTC